CTACTGAAATTTAACAACGTAATAACCCACGATATTCATTTGTCTCATCCGCAACAGGTGACAATCTCCAATTTGACAAGGTGTTAATAAGTCACTTTAAACATCATACACCCTCGTTTCTTTCTCTAAAATCGATCTCGTTCACCTAAATGCCATTCCAAACGCCTTCAACCCCACGCAGCTAACCAGTTTCTTAGTCACATTGTTAGCCGCGTTTTGTCCCAACGGGGACCGGGTCGAAAAGGGGCCGCCGCCGGGGAATCTCGAGGTTCCCGAACCCCTCTGGGCTGTTGTAGAACTCATAACCGAACAAACTTGCTGGGAATCGCAGCTACTCGGTGGCTTGTACCGGTAGAAATATAAATAACCCGTGTACGAGATAGCTTGGCCAGGCTGGATTAACGATAGTCCAGGTGGTGTGGCTGAAGGAGGTATAATAATCTGAACTCGGGAGTACGATCAACCTCTACATTTCTTCCTCTCGTCGTTTACCTCTGTTCTTGTCGATCCAACTCGCGACACACGCATCTATCTCCGCTTTTTTCCCGCCATGAACCTCATTTGTCGTAAAACATTTGCGTTCGTAGGGGCAACGGGGAGGATCACGCAACCGAGCCTAGAGAGAGGAAAGAGGGAATGGGTTAGGGAGAGTGGGACACGGTTCCTTAAATAAATATCTTCCCGCGAAAGCACGTCGTAACCCCGCGTGCATCGCGGGTTCGATCGTTAACTCCGCGGTTTTACAGCTCGCGCTAACCGTGCCGGCGATCTAAAAATCCCGGCGGTGGCAGACCGGGGACGCTGACGCGTCGCTTTGATTGCGTTTCTTTCTTGCTCGGCCGGGCTCGTAAATCGGTAACGTTCGCGGGAACGCGAAACAACTGGAAACGGGGATATCGTGAATAATGAAGTATCACGGCCAGACTGGACACGTGTTTTAGAAAGGAGAACGCGTCAGTTTTTGTTTCACGTTGCATTCTGGTTAAGTGATACCTACGTCCTTCTCACGCGTTACATTCGACGATTTTCAGGTAGGTGTAACCCTAACGGTGGTTTGAGCGATAGTGTTGGGTGAAAGTGGATAGAAGGTGG